ACTTTAGGGGATCAAAAATCTATAATATTACGTTTGCCACCCATATAACATGTAATCATCGTCTCAGTGGTTAGTCCATCATTTAGATGAGAATTGGTCGTCAACGATGCCTTTATAACAATAGCTTCTGCGTATGTTATCAATTATGATTTATTTAGTACACCAAAAGGTTTTATAAGTACAGTAAATTTACTTCTTTCACAGTATCGAACGATCTAAAAACTTATTTGTATCATTGAGTAGAATTCGAAATAACGAAATTTGACCAAACTGAAGACGAGAAAGTCCTAAGTAGGCATATATTACAAAATCGTACCATTTCATTTTAGAAGTTTTAAATTTGGTACAATTTAAAGGAATAGAACAAGAACGTAATGATTTAACTGCATTAGGCCTATTTCATTATTATTACCAAGATGAAAAAAAAAACGCTAAATTAAAATTATTGTTAAACTTTTTAGATCCATAAGAATGATTAATCTAAAGTACCTATGTTTAATCAATGCAATCAATACTCATCATATTAGCTTTACTATAGTTACAATACACAAACACGTGATTCCTTGTCGTGGGACACGTTGTGTTATTTTTACATGCTTATATAAACTCTGCTACCGTCATGGAACAAATTCGTTTGAGACTCGCCGCATATTTTGGCTCCGTCACTGTCAGTAAAGTAATAACTGGAGTCCAGATTGCGTAGGGTTATGGACAGCAGACGCCTTACATCACGGTGGGTGGGAATCGATAGTCGACGTTTGTGAGGTATCGATGTTTATCCACGATAGTAGTGTTTGTCCTACAATCTGCAATATTATTCATCTAAAGTATCTTCAGAGGGTGTTTCTGTAACATCCCCCTTTTCAGTTGTTCTGCTTCGATTTTTACGATTAGGGGTCATTTTAGAACCTATAAACGCAACTGCGAATGGTAACGAAAAAGGCAATTTCCTTTAAAGACCTTCGTTGCGTTTCTAGAGTTCACTTTAAAGATCCAGTGTTGCTGACAAACTTTCTTTATAAATGTCCAATTCCTATGCGGTGACTGAGGCCAGGCGCACACAGGCGATTTTGAGTCGCGCAACAGTTGCCCGACTAAAATGTTCAACATTGTTTTAAATTGGAGTGCGCACACCAAGGAAACAGTCTAGGGACAGTCGCGCAACTGTTGCAACCGATGTTCCCGGACCCAATTTACCAGTGACTGCTCTGCGACTCAATTGTTGCGGGACTGTCGCTCCAGGTTTGGTATCCATTGAACCAAGTGTAGATGCGCACACATGTCGCTGTGTCGCTTAGTCTCACCCGAGGAATTCAACTACTCGTGGCCAGATCTGTCACTAGTGTTTGCTCTCTTTTTGATGTGTGAAGTTTTTAGAAAATTACTTAAATACAAATTCTATGGATGAGGATGTCAAACAATTAATTGTTTAAGTTGACAAGAGGCCGCCTTTATATTTAAAGTCATTGAAAGACTGTTCGGATATTAATTTGAAGAAGAAGTTGTGTGATGAAGTGTCCTTGGCAGTTACTAAAGATTGGAACAACCTAACACAAGAGGATAAAATACAAAATCACAACTTCAACAACAAAGCACATACTACGGCTGTATCATTGAAAACCATTCGGTACTGTTAACGAATGTAATGTCCAACTTACGTCTTAAAGACTTTAGATTCATGACTAAAAAGTTGCCTGTGTGCGCACTCCAGCTCAACTGTTGCTAGACTTCAGAGTTTCTGAGTAGGTTGCACAACAGTCCCCCGATTAGTCGGGCAACTGTTGCGCGACTCAAAATCGCCTGTGTGCGCCTGGCCTAAACTGCTTCCCAGACCCAGTATGGTTTAAATATTGCCTTCCAGCAAGTCTGAAAACGATTCCAAAAAAACTTTCCAGCAGAGGATCAAGTCTTGATTGTTGGACAACCCCTGCCTGCTATGTTAATGTACATAATTTTTTGTGATGACAACATTATTTGTGCGATGACAATATGATTAGTGTTGGCATTATTTGTGATGCCACTATTATATTTGATGACAACATTGTTTGTAAAGACAACATTGATGTAACAACAATGTTCACCTAACATTATGTGATGGCAACATTAAAATGAAATGACAACACGTGACGACAATATTATTTGCGATCACAAAATTATTTGTGATGACAACGGGAGACAAAAGCCCGAGCTCTTGTGAGCAGAGCAGCGAACAGATGAAAGCGGTACTCTGCTTTTAATAAAGACTGTACAGTCGCTTTTCTCTTACTGCAAAAAATCTTACGAAAAAAGCCGTTAAAAATTTACAGGGGGTCTCCAGACTTGGAAAGCTGTAAGTTAAATTTAACTTCTGAGAATTTCAATTGGCTGCCTTTTTTTACTGGATTGAGATAGAGACCTCTAATTTGCATTGTTGGTTTTCTTTTACCATGACCTTCAAAATGAGGTGTCACTCGAGGGGTCTTTCCATTCAAAATTTTTGAGTTTTCCCCAAAGCCCCCCGTTTTGGGGATGTACACCAAGTGGCAGTTATGCCCAAAAAGTACTTCATAACATGCCATAATGGTGTGCTGAGTTAAGTTTTTCTAGTATGGGCCGTTAAAAAAATAACTGGGGGTCTCCACACTTTTTACTAACCCTGTATTTTTATTTGATAAATGGTTAAACGTTTACATAAACTTTGACTGTATTACTTTATTAATATAATCGATAGTTGTTTGGCCCATTCTTCGCTTGGAAAACTTTTGTAAAATAAATTATCACATTTTGATTTAATCCTTAATAACTGTTCTGTTACTATACAGAAAAATAATGTAAAAGGTCATGTTAGCCCTTATTGAAGTCACAAATTCAGCCAGTTCATAATAAAACTCAAAATTATGTCGGGCGAAGCCAACGGGCAACAGCTAGTATCAATCATAAAATTACAAATACCAACAAATAACAAAAAAGGGCCAATAAGCCCAACGATGATGCACGTAACAATACATTCTGGGACAATTTTTGATATTTCAAGCTCAACCCACCTTTGATCTGCAGAGTTATTTTGTTGAATGTTACACAAGCCGTGACACACCCCCACCCACAACCACCCAGGGGGTGTGAGACGTGACGTCTTACAGCCCGGAATACAATCCATGAGTGTAAGGAATGCTTGCTCAAGAGATTGATACATAAATATCTTTACCTAATGAAAAAAAGTGATAAGTTCATTCCTCAGAACGTTACGTTATGTTTTAGTCCCAGTATGGGTATTTTTATACAACTCTTTATTTTTAGAAGAGTGTTGACTGGTCTTGAATGTCACTTTGCGTTAGCCTCATCGTATTTCGTTCAAAAATACTTTTACCTGCGTATATTCTACTGTAACATGTCAGAATAATTGAATTCTGGAAACAAGACGTGGTTTTTCTGGTTATTCTTGACTTTGTTATGAGACGTGTGGTTAAACTGCGTCATCGTGTAAGATGAATGAAGAAGGTTTAATGTTTAATTTTAAAAGATTTTGAACATTTTAGCGAATTTCCCATATAGGGAATAAGCTATTACCGTAGTACTCATGGTAAGACCTGGACCCGGGACCGATTTTTTTTTTTCGTTTTGAGGTCCCTAGAGGCCAAAAACACCATCCGTTCAAATTCATATATATATATATATATATATATGTGTCCGTTAGCGCGATAACTCGAGCAAAAATGATCCGATTTTGATGAAATTTGGTATAACCGTGTAAACCTACATTTATTCGAACGAGTTCGCGAACCAGCATGATCGGACCATGGGAACAGGGGTTTATGGGGGCTTTTATGGGGTAAAAATGGGTTTTTCCTATTTTTGACCCAAAAAACATAAAATTTTGAAATTTCTTTCCAAACTATTTTGTAGAGCTTAAAAAAAACAAATAATTTAGTATATTGAAGCGTTATAATGCGCCTAATGGTTACGGAGAAAATTCCAAAAAATTGTTAATTTAAAATTCCCATGTTATTCTTATGGAGAATAAGTAAACCGTTGTAGTGTGCTTGTTTATTAACATATTTTGCCCAAATTTGGAAAATGTTTTTATTTCTTATTAACTATTAACATTTTACATAAAAAAACACTTTTACCCTCCCTGTTGCAGCAAACCTAAGTATGTGTTAAACTGATTCTATTTAAATAGGGAATAAATGTGATATTTTTAAGGAGACATTTTAGTCTAAATCCAATCAGGCAAATGGAAATTCGCTTAGTCTGAAGGTTTGCTGCGGCGGGGGTATTTTGTAATGTTACAATATTAAGCTTGACATGATTTAGCTGTAGCTCTATTGTTATCAGTTACATACTTTTAAAGCAAACCCATATTCGGCTGATCCTCATCCCAGCAAACCTTTTTATTTTATTGTGTAATTTGTATTAGTATATTTGGTCTAAGTGTAACACATAAATTAAAAGTTTTATATATTTTACTCTCTCCCCCTATGCATAGTATACGGAGAAAGTATTGTTTTTGTCAACATTTTTAAATTTGAGTTTTGGGTGTATATAGGCCTATACATTTTGGGTCGTCCTGAACCCAAAAAAGTGGTTTTCAAAGTCAGTGATGTAGTTGTAAAACGTCAATAGTGTGAACGCTCTCTATCATCGGTGAGAGAAAAATTGAAAAAAATCAGTTTTTATCAAAAACAGCCTGAACGATTTTTAGTAAAATTTAGTATTTTATGATCCTTTTAACTCTAAACAAAATGGTACAACCCCTGATGCTGCAAAAATTATGATAATTTGGAAAATCCATTCCGCAACAAAGATGATCTATACAAGCATTTGGCGTGAGCCGGGGAGACCATCCAATGATTGAAGAAATGTTTGTATTGTTTAAAGACAAATAATATCTGTAATGTTTGTTATTGAAGTCTAATGTGAATAATTCTAAGCCTATTTATATAATAAGTTGAAGTTGCAAAGCCACTGAACGCAAAGCTATTTGTCACCTAAAGAACTAGGAAAATAAATAAACATTATACATGCCATAAATTTACTTCAAACCAAAATATCTCTTAAGTAAGTATACATCTAAATAACAATAATACCTTATACCTAAATAAAACCCACGTCTTAGCATGGTTGTAGATAAATCAAATATTACCATATTAACATAAAATAAATAACTAAACAGTTTTATTGTCGCGATCACTTTTCAATCGGAAAGAGACATTGTAAAACTTTATTTTTAGGTAAAACATTACTTTTTAAGTTACATACACCATAATCTAACCGGCTGACTTACTAATTGCAATTCTGAACATGAATTTAAGCCTGAACCATAAAATACCTAAAAAGGAGGCCCAACAAAATTATCTTACACTAGTAAAAAAATTGACAAAAGATTAAAAGTAATGGAATTTTTAAGTGAGCAGTTGCTAACTCCACTGTGCTACCATGGCATAGGATTTCTCAAATATTAGTGTAATAATATGTTTAGTATAAATGTATATAACAATTAAATTGACCCGTATGGATTGCGTCGGGACGTCAGGTGAAGCAATTAACCGTTGTAGTCGAAATAGTCAATCTGGGGAGCATCAGACACAGTAGACTTGGCTGGTTGGTTCAATGCTACTCTTACTGGGAGAACATTGCTGAAACAAGTACAAGGGTAAGAACCATGTTAAAGACAATTGAATTAAACTTGATCTTTCACACCCTGTCATATTGCGTTGAAATAGTTGACCTAAAATCTAATTGCATCACTTTGAGTATTGGATTTTAGATACTGAAATATACATCCAATCTATAATCTTTATGGATCAGCTGTCACAAACGTTTTATTGAAAAGGATCATAGTTCTGTGAGCCAGTCAAAGATTGCGCTAGTGTCTGAAATTCTATTTAATCTTGTTTTATGTTACTGAGATATTTGACGTTACATAAAATACGCTATAGCTTACAATAAGTTTGATTTGATTTAAAAGTCTGCATATTCAAAGGAAATCAGTAATTTACAATCAGCACAATCTGTCGGTGGCTCACATCAACTACCTGTATTTTAATTTGAAACTGGCGACAACTTTAACAGGGAATGGAATTTCTAGTAAATAACGTGATCAGATTCCAGATCCCAAAACAATGTGAAAACTTTAATTTTTTGCTATTGTGATGGGCCAAGGACAATCTAAAATAATTTCTTAAAAAAAAACTCACCAAAAATAAACTTTAACAAGTTTCCGTATGCTAAATGATATTGAATTAAAAAAAATAGAATCAACAGGCAACTACCCAAGCTATTACAGACGTGTAAAATTCCCTTTGTGAAAATTTCCCAATACAGTGGAAACTTGATAAGAAGACCCTCGATAACAAGTCACCCTTGATAACAAATGTCATTTTCACATCCATTTTAATTTGTTTTACCCTTAATCACATGTTATGCAAACCTCAATAAGGAGTCAACCTTGATAACAAGCCTTATTTAATAATCCCCATGAGTCTTCTTATCAAGGTTCTACTATAATTGATTGCTCCGAATAGAAGCCGGCTAGTTATGCTGCAGAATGAAACACTTCATTATATGTTTTTTGTGTAGACTTGCACAGAAAATACAAAGAAGATCCCACTATATATATTTTCTGCCAGAAAGAATTTGTTTAGCAGCAAAGCAAACCTTTGAGTGGTAGTTTTTTGGCTGGAAGAGTTGAGGTTTGGAAGAGGTACCTTCCGCAGCCCCATCTCTCTCTGTAACACTTCCATCAGACTGTAGCTCGGTAGCCAGGCCTGGAACCATTCAGTAGCGTCACTTCGTGACTTCAAAATCCGTGATACATTTGATAAGTTGATAAGGACGAAAACAATTATTTCTCATCATATCTCTATTATTTGCATTTCATGCCTATACAAGGGCATCTTAGAAGAATTACATACCCTGATGAAACATGCTATGAAAACACAAAATCTATAGTAAGTCATTTTCTTCTTTACATTTTGAACTACATTACATTTTAAACATTACAATATTTTACTTCAATTCACTAAAACATCAATAAAACATACTATGAAAACACAAAATTCTATTACAACACCAAAATTTAACGCAAGTCATTTTCTTCTTTACATTTTAAACAAATAACATTACAATATTTTACTTGAATTCACAAAAACATCACCAACTGTAACGATATAACCCCTTTTTCAAATGGATGAAGACAGAATCGTATCATCGCTATCTGTTTTTATGTAAACAAATGTAAATTTGAAAAGGTCCAGATGATTGACAACGGAATCCAGCACAAACTCTTAAATGTAAAAATGTAAAAAGGATGAAGTGCTTTCAAGGGATATCATACAAACCAGCAAAAGGCAAATATAGAGGATAAGAGCTTTTAATTGATACCCAATATGCCTATAAAAATAAATATTTAGGGTTCGATTTGCAGCATACAAAAATCCAACAAATTTTTTTAATAATATGGATAAGCTATAAAACTGTAAATGTGTATACCCAACTGGAGTATAGAAAAATGGCTTGTTAAGCCAAAACCATTGGCTACTATTCTAACTCCAACATTAAATAAGATGGAAATATTATAATTTGCATGCTTGTTCACTTTACAGATAGCAATATATTTGCATTTAAAGTTGAAATAATAGCACAATGTGCATTTTTGCAATTTTGAACCCATGTTTTTTCCATTGATAAATTAAATAGGACCTACCCCCGCTGCAGCAAACCTGACGACTAAGCAAATTTCCATTTGTCGGAATGGATTTTCAATTAAATCTATTTAAATAACATTAGGTTTAGAGAGTACCTAGGTTTGCTGCTATAAGGAATCTGGTAAAGTCCCCACTTTTTACCTTTTTAGTAAAAAAATAGCTACTTCCCTATAGGGAAATTCGTATTCTTGAGAAAATTGAGTAAATTTCTGATGGTTTAAAACTGTACTCAGCTGTTCAGGTGTTAAATAACTGTTCTAGCTAAATAAACAGCTGATTTGTCATCAACGAAGCTACACAGGCCATGTCCACTGAGCTGTAATTATAACTGGAGTCACCACTCAGTGTTTAAAAAGCTTTTGCTGGTTTTATTAAGTTTTTCGTGTTGTTACGTTGGCCTTTAGTTGGTTGGATAGCTGTCAAATTCGAACCAATCAGATGGGGTTATTTTTGACAAGTCCAACCAACCGAGACAGTGTGACCAACAAAACACAGTAACATTATTGTGTTAGCGTTAGCCACTCGACTAATTTTCACAAATAAGCTAAACCATATTCCTTTAAAAAAAATGTTACACAAAAATTCTTATGTCAATGTTGATTGTTCTTACTAAACAGTTTAGAATATAAGAACTTTACTGTACAGTAATCATGTGCATAATCAGTATTTTGCTTTACATCATCAGAGTTTTAAAGAATGTAAGCTCAAACCAAGCTGAAAAATGCAAGGCTATCAATAAAAATTACATACCTTATCTCTCTGAGCGGTTGCAACCACGTTGCGTTTAGGCTCTGCATCGTAAGCAACAGATTCACAACCAAAATGAGTGCAATACTCGTGAACAAACTGGCGCTTCTCTCTATTCATAGTCTCGAACGAATAGCTCCGACTCTTCTGCTTGGACTAAAAAAAACATATTTGTTGTAATATACCCCCGCCACAGCAAACGTGCAGACTAAGCGAATTTCCATTTGCCAGATTGGATTTACACTAAAATGTCAACTTAAAAATATAACATTTATTTCCTATTTAAATAGAAAATTAATTTTTAAATAGCTTTGAGAGAGCTTTGATGTAGTTTGCCATAAGATTATCATTATTTTACCTTATTGTGACACTATTTATGTATGTGTATAGTAGGCCTATATACAAGATAAATCAAGAAATTTGACTATGACTATGACTACGACTAAGTACTTAGGTTTGCTGCATAAGGGAGGATAAAACTGTTTTTTTTGTAAAATGTTAATAGTTAGTAAGAAATAAAAACATTTTCCAAATTTGATCAAAATATGTTCAAGCAAACTACAACAGTTTACTTGTTCTCCATAAGAATAACATGGGAATTTAAAATTTACATTTTTTTTGAATTTTCTCCGTGTGCATAATAACGCTTCAATATACTAAATTATTTGTTTTTTTAAGCTCTACAAAATGGTTTGGAAATGAATTGCTAAATTATATGTTTTTTGGGTAAAAAATGGGGAAAACCTATTTTTACCCCATAAAACCCCCTGTAAACCCCCGTTCCCATAGTCCGATCATGTTGGTTCGCGAACTCGTTTGAATAAATGTAGGTTTACACGTATATACCAAATTTAATCAAAATCGGATGATTTTTGTTAGAGTTATCGTGCTAACGGACATAAATATATATATATACCTATATAAATATATACATATATATGAATTTGACCGGAGGGTGTTTTTGGCTTCTAGACATCAAAACAAAAAAAAATCAGTCCCGTGTCCAGGTCTTACCATGAGTACTACGGTAATAGCTTACTCCTTATATGGGAAATTCGCTAAAACATGGCTTGGATTTGAGGAGTAACATTGTTTTTAGTTTAACAAACCTCTAGATAAACCTTTTGGAGTATCGAACTACACTGATGTTTCTGATTCGCTGCTTTGCTAGGAATTCACACACTGCTTCATCCACTTTGCATAAATCTCTTCATGGGACTACAGTTAGTAACAGAGCAATTATTGTTACTGCCTGTCTTTGGAATGATATTCTATTAAAACCGTTGATAGTTAGTTGTGACTGGTTTGCGATACAGTACAACTATTTGACCTAAGCCAAGAGGCTTGCATAGTTTTACATAGTAGATCTTACTGGGGTAGCGGATTTTTATCCCCCTGGAATTTTACCCCCTGGGCAAACATGACGTCACAAACCAGGGGGTAAAATTCCAGCCGCGAACTTTTGAGTTTCTCGACATCAGCTCGATGGATTAAACGCGGAATTAAACATATATTTACACGGTTGTGAATTTAATCAGAACACATCAAATTATAAAAACCTACCCCCGGAATTTTACCCCCTGGCCAGATATATAAATTAGTGAGAATGATTAATTATCTTCATTCTGTTTTAATTTAATAATAAACATTTTATTACAGTATTAAGTAGCCTATCTTAACAGCCTATTTGTAACATCAAATAATTGAACAGGTTTTTGATTTTAATTTTGGGATTAAAGTATCAGGATTCGATCTTTGAAGCCAACAGTTGATTAATATGACGTATAAAAAAACATCAGAATGGTAATTGATTCGAAGATTTCTTTAACGATTTATTATACAACCGTGGTAAACAATGTTTTTCGTTTGTATTGTAACAATAACAAAATATGCCTTATTGTTTCTTTACGAAGAAATGTTCACCCGATTATCATTTAAATGAACTACTCAGTTTATTTTACATACTTATTAACCAACAGTTGGCCCCAAACATCAAAATTAAACAGCGAATTCTGTTTACTTAGTTGAGATTACAAAATAAATAAATAAAGGTAGGCGACTAAATAAAATGAAATGTTTACAATTAATTAAAAGCAGAAATAAGAAAATCAATCATTCAATTTCTAAAATCGGCCAGGGGGTAAAATTCCGGGGGGTAAAAATCCGGGGGTAAAATTCCAGGGGGTAAAAATCCGGGGGAAAATTCCGGGGGTAAAAATCTGGGGGTAAAAATCCGGCCCGTACATTTTCAGTTGTCTAAACGCTAGTTATATGGACAGGGGGTAAAATTCCGGTTTTTATCGCTAATCTAATTAATCACGCTCTGGCTATTTTCATTAGACTTCCAAATCCGCGGGGGTAAAATTCCGGCCGCAAACAAACTTTTGGCCACTCAGGTTACTACGTCATAGTGACGTCAGCTTTGCCCAGGGGGTAAAATTCCAGGGGGATAAAATTCCGGCGACCCATCTTACTAATATTATAAATGTGAAAGTTTGTGTGTTTGTTTATTTGTTTGTTTTTTTGAAGTTCAATCACGCATTAACTACTGGATGGATTGGGCTGAAATTTGGTATGATGATATTTCACGTTCCCAATTAACATATAGATGTATTCTCATCTCAAAAATTCTTTCGGGCTCCGCCCCAGTGGCTCTAAAGTTTCCCATGTTAACCTTATGAGTATTCATACTTAAAATGAATTAAAGAATTTAATTAGCTGTCTCAACTACATAAGTTGGCTCTATGATATTCAATAGCATTATAAAGTAATAAAGTTTACCAACAGAGTGCAGCACTATTATTTTTTTATTATTTACGACAACAGCTAATTTAAACCAAGCAGCAACAAAAAGCTGTGACACACAATGAGAACTTTACTTTTTTCTATTGTTTAGGTGCAGTGGTAGAACATTTTAGCTATCTTATCTTATCTTATCTAACAGGGGCAGGCCAAGACCTTGAAGCATATTTCATCTGAAAAACAAATTATTGCGCACCCCAGACAATTGTTTTCTTGATGACCTTACAAGTTAAGGCGTCCGATGAGTGTCTGTAAGCTGAAACATTATAGCTATGGTAGATGTGCTATACTAAAGTAAGTATACCGTAAATTAAAAGAACCAAATTTTCTTAAACCGGGTCCTCTTCCATTGCAAACGCATAGCACGAATATAACTGCAATGAATATTTTATACTTATACTCCAACCCTGTACGAAGGACGGGTACTCTTCTAGTTGACTATAATGATAAAATATATTTGTTGTGTTTTTGTATTGCTATTTAAGTTTTAAAAGGACCATGAGACCCTACTTTCCACCTATCTCCACCTATTTTCTTACCTCCTTGGCCAGTTTGACAAGGTCGGTCAGCTTGTCGTGTATCTGTTGACAGAACCGAGGGTCTTTCTTGGCCCAACCTCGCATGAAGTCAGAGTATCGAGGAGTCAGCTTGGCGCTCAGGTCGGGGTTGCGGATCTGTAGACCAATGGCCAGACGACGGTTACGCTCCACCACACGACACTCTTCAGAACACTCCAGCCTAGTGGGGAGATTACATACAGGGTGTAAGGTTTAAGGTAAAGGTTAAATGATTAAGGTGATATCTATATTAGTGACTAGGATCAGCTGAGACTAGTTTCTATTAATGAGTGGCAAAACCAAATCTTGAATAGAAAAAAAAAAAAAAAACAAGTCGTTGAAGGAAGGCCCCACGCTAAGAATTTTATAAATATTAACTTAAAATTGTTAAGGAAACCCATCTGCTAAAGAAATTATTAGGGATGGACGGGATTGAATTTTTAGTTCGGGACGGGACGGGATTTTTATTTCCTTCCCGATTATCGGGACGGGATTTTTTTCTGTACATAAAAAGAAAGTCTTGAGTATTGCAGTTACCAAAAAAGACATACGAAATCAATTTTTACCGTTTGTGGCACTGATCTATAAAAAAACCAAAAAATGGGTAACAATTTACAGGTACCTATCGTCAAAATGACTCGCGGTCACGGCAATATCGTCGGTATGACTCACGATCACGGCACGATCGTCGGCATGTCTCCGCGGTCACGGCGCGATCGTCGGTATGACTCCGCGGTCACGGGGTGATCGACGGTATGACTCGCCATCACGGCATGATCGTCAGTATGACTCCGCGATCACGGCGCGATTGTCGGTAGGACTCCGTGGTCACGGCGCGATCGTTGTTATGACTCGTGGTCACGGTGCGATCGTCGGTCCATGAATCGCGGTCACGGCGCGAAAAAAAAAAAATGACTCCGCGGTCACGGCGCAATCGTCAAAATAACTCCGCGGTCATGGCGCAATCGTCGAAATGACTTCGTCTCCTGCGTTCGCGGACCTATCGCAATAGCGGCGTCATTGGCAATCGCGAAGCGGCAAAATTGCCGACGATCGGACCAAATCCCGTCCCGAAAAATTCCCGAATCAATTGTAATCCCGTCCCGATAATCGGGAATATTTTTTTCCCGAAAAATTCCCGAAATTTCGGGACACGTCCATCCCTAGAAATTATGAAATAAATAAATTATATTTTTGTTATGGTACAAAGATTAAATACTTCCTGTTAAGTCATGTGAACCATTTCTGAGTATCCAAGCAACTCTAGATTTCAATTTTCTAATGCTCTAGATGCCTTTCCACATTATACTCCTACATTAATGTTACTAGTGGCAAAAAAAAATTAACTCATTATTTTATATATTTAATATTAAAAAAAGAAGGTAGTCTATTTAGGTGAGGATTACATAGACGACAGTTAAAACCAGGCAGTAAAATGATCTTCACTTGAAACTCCAATATACATCAGATTTTCTGTAGAATTGATTAATATCCAAGCAAGTAATCTTAATCTTACGTTTTCATGGTGACTTTGCGGGAGCCTTGCATGTCAGACAGGTTGACAGAACGACCCAGTTGCACATCGGCCATCTTGGAGGCCAGCAGGGACGTGGCGATCCGCTGATACTCGCTGTTGTTCTCATAGCAAGGTCGAGACATGCTGCGGTGTCCACACTCACAGGTAACTACCACCTGTTGTAAAAAAAAACACTCAATGTTATTTCATGATTAAATAAATTAAACCAACTCGTACACAAAGTTAATTATTATATTCCTGGATTCATCAAAACTAATACGATGGTAGACTTGTAAAAATTGTAATCATAATAATCTTTAGAGTTGGGAAGTTGCGACAGTTTATGTACACATTTTGGTTTATAAATTTCAGTGTTTCAGTTACCTGAATTGAAACAACAAAACGTTAAGAGAATATAAGAAAACTGAGAGTTTGTGAGCAGATTTGAAAACACACCTGCTTGTAAATTCAAATATTTGTAGAACAATTTTTAATTCAGTTTGTATGCTTATGTGAGGATGAGGCCTAGCGTTTGACTCCGGATTTACCAGAAAAAAATAGAATATGTTTTGTTACGTAGTTAAAAACGACCAATGCTGCTAAGAAAACAAAAGTTTGCGTGCAGATTAGAAAACACTTTTTAAAATTATAATTTTGGCTTAAAAATTTGGTTTAAATGTGGAAAAAAATAGAGGTGAGATGACAGATGGCGGAGGTAAAGGTCCTGTTGAGGGATGGAAGATGCAGAGACCTTGGAACTACGGGAACCACTACATCTAAGAACACAATCTTGTAAGCGACTCACGTTCTGCTTGCACGGCATGTCAGGACACTCTCCGTCGTGACAAGGCTGGTTGCAGGAGTGACCACACAAGTCCCTGGGCTTGGTACACGGCTGACGACAGCTCGTGACACAGTCGCCCCCGTGACACGGCTGTATGCACTTGTGTCGTCCACACGGCAGCGCGCGACCACACGGCAGGCCACACGAGAACTCCTTCATGTGGCAAGGCACTGCTTTGCGCAACTGCAAAATGCATAGCTTGAGTTGTGTGTGGGTTTAAAATTACACATTTATTGCTAAGTCCCTACAAGCAAATAATAATAATAGCATAAGTCCCTAATAATATAAAACAAATTATTCCAATATTTCAACAAACTAAGAAATATATTATCTATGTGTCAGAATAGATAACCCTGTACGCCATATCTTTTGTGTAAAACACAGTTTGTTGTTAGCCTTTGTTGATTTTATTTTAAATAAATCATTTGAATCACTACATAGGTTTAACTCTGCTAAAGGCAGCAAACATATACTTGTTTGTGAATAAATACTGGTTTTTTAAGGTAGCTTTGGTTTTGTGGTTAATGGTGATAAAGATGACTTCCCTGATTGTAATTTTGGAAATTGTTTACGTCAAATATGAAAAGGCAAAAAAAAGGTATGTTGAGGTAAGCTTAGATCTTGGCTAAACCCGCTAAATTAGCATCCCTACCCAGTTAATATTTCTAAGTTTACACTCCTTTTGTTAAGGTTTAACAACATTAGACTATTATTTATATAGACTATATCTGGAAATTAGACCAATTTGTTGAGCGAAGCTCTTATACGGCGACTTTTATGCATTTCGTAATACGCAAACTCCTCCTAGACGGCTGAATCGATCGTTTTCAAATTTTGGATGGTGATAAAGACCATATCGGTGAGTGCCAACATCTATATGGCGTTAAAAATAACTCTCAGGAATCCGCCCCACTGGGTCTCAAAGTTTCAATGTAATCCTTATGGAAGCAGTATTTGACACATAAACAAAAACATATGATCAGCTGTTGACTTTTGAATACAGTAGATAAAGAAATAGCTGATAGCATTATTCCACAGATATTAGAACAAAAACGGTATGAATCATAAATATAATCAAATGACGACACTAGCTTGAGGTCCGTGACGTAGGAAATGCTAAAGGAAGTAAGGGAAGCAAGGAAGTAAGGGTGAGCAGTCTGGAGTGAGGAAACTGTTTATGACGATTAGATTTAGGTATCTGCATTCCTAAAATTCTATGGGAAGGGAGGAAAACGGGTCCGCGACGTAGGCAGTGGTGAAGGAAGTACTAAAGGTGAGCAGTCTGGAGTGTGGAAACTGTTTATGACGATTAGATATAGGTATCTGCATTCCAAAAATTATAAGGGAAGGGAGGTAAACGGGTCCGCGACGTAGGAAGTGATGAAGGTAGTAGTCAAGGCGAGCTGTCCGGAGTGTAGGAACTGCTTATGACCATTATATTAAGGTATTTCCAATCTTATGATGCTATGGGAAGGGAGGGAAACAGGTCCGTGACGTAGGAAGTGGTGAAGGAAGTACTAAAGGTGAGCAGTCTGGAGTGTGGAAACTGTTTATGACGATTAGATATCGGTATCTGCATTCCAAAAATTATAAGGGAAGGGAGGTAAACGGGTCCGCGACGTAGGAAGTGATGAAGGTAGTAGTCAAGGCGAGCTGTCCGGAGTGTAGGAACTGCTTATGACCATTATATTAAGGTATTTCCAATCCTATGATGCTATGGGAAGGGAGGGAAACAGGTCCGTGACGTAGGAAGTGGTGAAGGAAGTAGTAAAGGCGAGCGGTCCGAAGTGTGGGACCTGTTTATGACGATTAGATTAAGGTATCCGCAATCATAAAATGCTATGGGAAGGGAGGAAAACGGGTCCGCGACGTAGGAAGTGATGAAGGAAGTAGTCAAGGCGAGCTGTCCGGAGTGTGGGAACTGTTTATGACGATTAGATTTAGGTATCTGAATTCCTAAAATTCTATGGGAAGGGAGGAAAACGGGTCCCCGACGTAGGCAGTGGTGAAGGAAGTACTAAAGGTGAACAGTCTGGAGTGTGGAAACTGTTTATGACGATTAGATATAGGTATCTGCATTCCAAAAATTATAAGGGAAGGGAGGTAAACGGGTCCGCGACGTAGGAAGTGATGAAGGAAGTAGTCAAAGCGAGCTGTCCGGAGTGTAGGAACTGCTTATGACCATTATATTAAGGTATTTCCAATCCTATGATGCTATGGGAAGGGAGGGAAACAGGTCCGTGACGTAGGAAGTGGTGAAGGAAGTAGTAAAGGCGAGCGGTCCGGAGTGTGGGAACTGTTTATGACGATTAGATTAAGGTATCTGCAATCATAAAATGCTATGGGAAGGGAGGAAAACGGGTCCGCGACGTAGGAAGTGATGAAGAAAGTAGTCAATGCGAGCTGTCCGGAGTGTAGGAACTGTTTATGACGATTAGATTAAGGTATCTACAATCAAAAAATGCTATGGAAAGGGAGGGAAACAGGTCCGTGGCGTAGGAAGTGGCGAAGGAAGTAGTAAAGGCAAGCAGTCCGGAGTGTGGGAACTGTTTATGACGATTAGATTAAGGTATCTGCAATCATAAAATGCTATGGAAAGGGAGGGAAACAGGTCCGTGGCGTAGGAAGTGGCGAAGGAAGTAGTAAAGGAGAGCAGTCCGGAGTGTGGGAACTGTTTATGACGATTAGATTAAGGCATTTGCAATCCTATGATGCTATGGGAAGGGAGAGAAATAGGTCCGCGACGTAGGAAGTGGTGAAGGAAGTAGTAAAGGCGAGCAGTACGGAGTGTGGGAACTGTTTATGACGATTAAATTAAGGTATCTGCAATCATAAAATGCTATGGGAAGGGAGAGAAAAGGCCCGAGACGTATGAAGCGGTGAAGGCAGTAGTCAAGGTCAGCTGTCCGGAGTTTGGGAACTGTTTATGACGATTAGGTTAAGGTATTTGTAGGGATGGTCAAGTCTCGAAATTTCGGGAAATTTTCGGGAAATTTTAAATCTCGTTACACGAGACGAGATTTCTTTTTGGCCAAGATTTTTATCAAGACGAGAATAAAAAAAAAAAAATTAAAACGCCTGCAGAAAGTCAATGCAATACCCGCAATACAGGAGCGTGTTGTAGTTGCGTTTTCATTGCGAAGGCGTTCTTATTTAATTAATTCTTTAATTTTAAATATTACTTTAATTATTTTAATAATATTACTTTGATAACATTTGAGAAGTTTTGTAAAGTGTAAGCAGTGTGAGGAATGTTTTATTACTATAAAAAGTCAAAACAAGTAACTATTTCATAAAAATTAATATTGCTTTTATTTTATGATTTATTTTATTTTAGGATAAGTTGAACTCTATCCTAACTGATATCACTATGTTTCCTAATCGTAGGCATTTTTAATAAGTTAGGCGTAATTAATAAAAATATGTTATGCTGATGTTTTTTAATAAAAGATTGTAAATATTCTTGCCTATTATCATTATTTTTGTATTTAAACAGTCATCTAACAATGTTACAAAATCAGGTAAAAATTTTGAACGTGCATTTCCCGTTGTGTATGAGAAGGGAAATCCCGTCTCGATCTTGTCTCGAAATTTTATGAGAAATAAAAAATCTCGTCTCGTCTCGTCTCGAACTAAAAATCCAATCTCGTCCATCCCTAGGTATTTGCAATCCTATGATGCTATGGGAAGGGAGGGAAAAAGGTCCGCGACGTAAGAAGAGGTGAAGGAAGTAGCAAGGTGAGCAGTGTGGAGTGTGGGAACTGGAAACCGTTTGTAGCAGTTAGATTAATGTATCTGCAATGCTGAAATGCTATGAGAAGAGGATGGAAGCATCCCCTCGACATATAAAATGGTGAAAAAAGTAGTAAAGGCTAGCAGTGTGGAGTGTGGGAACTGTCTTTGGCAATTACATTAATGTATCTGCAATCCTAAAATGCTATGGGAAGAGAGGGAAATAGGTCCACGACGTAGGGGGTGGTGATGGAAGTAGTAAAGGTGAGCGTGTTGAGTGTGAGAATGGATTGATGTATCTGCAATGCTAAAACGCTATGGGAAGAGACTGTAGACTGTAGGTTAAAATGATTACGAAGCACGAATCGATACATATTTCGATACATGCTGTCGTTTACAATAGTAATTTACAACTGAGTTGACAACAGCAGATTTTTACTCCATAGAGGATAAAAACTATTTTTACTTCCTAAAGAGTAAAAATGTTACTTTAGACCCACAACGCATGCATTAAAAACGACTGGTATTACTGCAGTATGACCAAAACAATATAATATAAACCCTTGATGGCTCCGCTCAATTTTGTGGATGCCTCTGCGAACGCCACCTAGTATATACCAAGGCAAAAATGTGGTTGGGATTCCACTATAAACTGTAGGTCCCTTAGTTGCCATTAGCTGTATGGGCTATTAATTAACAGCTGTGTCTAAGGAACAAGTCGGCCTTAGTCACTAACATGACTACAAGATCGCGCCACTCATCCTACACTCAACTCCATTCATACTTGGCTTAAAATACCTACTTTGTATGGTCGCCATTTCATTGAAAAGTATTAAGTATTAACATTAGTGTAAAGTAAAAGCATCCCATTGACCAAACTTAACCCTAGATTTTTTCTTATCAACATTAAAAAACTACAATTAGTGTAAGTTTATGTGGTGGTGTTCCTCTTAAAGGTGCGATTGACTTTACATATTCTATCAAATTAGGCCTAATCGTTGACTGATTTTTAACTCTTGCGAGCAACATACAGTACCTTTTTAGAATCTCCAAACAATATTCTTTTTCCTCCCATTGGAACTTGTGATATTACTTACTTAATTAACAAATATATATTACCTGTACGAACCTATTCCATCTTTATTCCAGTAAAATAATTTATTTCCACATTCTATAACGTAACTAAACAGTCTTAATGATTATAGGTAATGTTATCCCTGGTTTTATATAGTACATTGCACAATTGACTGGCAAGTAAGTAATCCAAATATTAACATTGCGTACTGGCTTGATGATAAATCACGATCAGCTGTATTGAAGTAAACAAAAAGCAGCAGTAAATGGCTTATAATGCTATTCTTATAGAGAACATTTTATGATATATCTCGTTTTCTGGTAAATTTATGGAAATTCTGCTATTTTTCCCCAGTCCATGGGGTCAAGACCTTTAATTTAAGACCTCTCCCACTTTTCTGCGACTTACCAGATGTCCACAATTTTCAGGTAAAAATGTTGTCTTACAGAATTATGTATAAGGATTGATGATATTGTGGCAAAATTTAATTTCTCATATCCGGAATAACAATAAGTTGCTGCAGTATTCCTACCTCATGTTTTCCGTAGCAGTACTTGGAGGTGAGCACTCCGCAGGGAGGACAATCTGCGTAGCTGTGACACGTATGGAGCACGTCGTGATCACATTCGTGTTGTCTGGAGCACGGTTGACTACACAGGGGAGGTCTTGTACCACATGAGATGGGTGGCATCAGCACACTTGTGCCACACTCACAGTACAACTCTGTGAAACCTGTCAAATAAAACCAAATAATTTAAAATTTTAGTATTAGCAAAACACAGAAAAAAACATGTTTAATGTACCATAAGCGGTGACTGATATACTTTGTTCAAAAATTTAGGTGGTTTATGGGGAAGTATTTCTGTTCCCTCTACCTGGCCCTAAAATACAAGCTATGAAAAAACGGTTTTACAAGTTAGGTTTACAGAAGTTAATGAACTGCTCAAAAGATGGCTTTACCTGAGTTTGACATAGTAAAGAGCACTTTGCACCACGCACAAACTGACCTACATAAAATTACCATTGCTAAATAATTGGTCAAGTACCATACCTAAAAAGAAATTATGTATTTTTTTACCAATTGAAGTAGTTTTAGAATTTGCAAATATTGACGATGAAAGAGGTAGAGGTTGAATGGTTATCATTAAATCAAGATTTAAATCTTGATCAAGGATCTCATCAACGTTGTGACTGTCACCCGCAATGGTAATAATATAGCAATAACAGTACCATTACGAGACCAAGTTACATACTGGACTGCAGGCAGGGCTGACAATGGCCGCGATGACACAGCTGTTCACATCTGTGTTGGCCGCAACTCAACATGTGGTTGCAGAGTAGAGGACACACGTGGTCAACGTCAATGCAGCACAACTGGTTACACTTGTGTTTGCCACACGTACGCTTCTGTTAAACAACACAATTACAATGCAGTGGCACAAAAGTAACAAAATGGGCAGTGGAAAGTAGAAAGATCGAGAGAACCCATGGTTGGATCAGTCTTGTTACCTGAGTCAATACATGTCCGATGGTCTGCGGGTGTTATGTAAATAAAAAAAAAACTGTCCCTGTTTTTGGCAAGAGTGGTAGTATCAAGAATGATGTGGAGAGGTGAATTTTGTGGTATCAGGATCAGTGATACTTTTTATATTTCAACGCTACTACATGATCTGTATGCAAGTTTAAGCTGACTTTACAAATTAAGTGTTAGGTAGGTTTGTTAGGAGGTTTATTAAGTATAAATTTACAATTAATTTTGCACAAACCTACAAGTTTAGTAAAGATGATTAGGTGAAAATAGAGTACCGGTATTGACAAAAAACTGAAAAAAACTTTGGCCAAATCCAAGATTATGATGAATAGAGAATTAGGTAGACTAGGAATTGTATACATAATTAAACCTAAACAGTTGTAGATAGAGGCGATCAGGACAAGACATATCATCTATGTACCAGTTGTAGCCAATTTTCCATTCTATCCTACAGTTCAATGTGCTTGCTCCCAGTGTGCACTACAATCAAAATTACAGTTTCTCCCTCAGTTTTTCAGTGGTGGGGCGTAAATGATTCTGCAGATAACAAAAAGTTGTCCTGTTGGTGTAATTAACATTATAGGAGGAGCGAGTCTATAGGTAGAGCGCGGGACCATAGACAAAAAGAATGAAATATAGACTGTCAGCCGTGCTGCGGTTACCATGGTTATCATAAGTTCCGGCGCACACCGCTGTAGTTTACGTAGCGTGTACGCTGTAACTACCGTGGCGATCCCAGCGTTGTGCGCCAGAACTTATGGTAACCGCAGCACAGCTGACGGTCTATTTTTAATTCTTTTTGTCTATGGCGGGACTTAGGTTCCTGAGGTCCCCGGTTCAAATCCCACCTGCAACCACTAGGTCTGGCCTGAAGTAATGAGAATAACTATGCAAACTCCGATTCAGTGCCTTACATCATAGAATAACCAACACAAGTAGACTTCTCATCCCATTGTAAATTTTGAAGCTCGCTTTTCATGTCTAGTTCATGTCCTGACACTGATCGTTAGTGTCGACAAAATTTTGTTTCTATTATTTTAGGGTTAATTTCATGATTTGTGCTTTACTGTTTGGTTATATAACTAGGGGACGAGTTTTTGTTTAAGATTTGGTTAAACGAGGTTTTAAATTACTGAAATAACAAGAAACAAATTGTAAACGAAACACCACCTCCAAAGTCCACCAGACGGAACTAACAATAAAATTATCTTCAGCTGATCCATAAGGATGAGAAATCTAACAAGGGAGTATGTTTTATCTATGCTAACGTCCTGGGAAAAAAAACAGTCTATTTGACTATAACACACTTTGTCAGTGGTTTACTTTGACTATCTCCACTTTTTCTGAATCTGCCAACAGGTCTAGCAAAAGAATACCGTACAATATCTTCTACCAATAGTCAAAAGTAATATCTGATCTAATGATATCTCCAATGTGATATGCACTGATATCAGAATGTAAGGTTATATTACCTTGGTGCATTTCTTTTGACAGCGAGCGTCGTCAGCCTTGGTAGTGAGCTCAGTGCAGGGCAGCTCTCTGTCCATGTAGCCACACCGACATCTCACCAGGGTAGTCTGGTCACACGGAGGACACTGACCTTCATGGCACTGAGCGTTACAACTGTGTGGGCTGCCTGTAGAATAATACATGTCAGGTCAAGTGGCTGGAGAAAAGCGTTTTGGAAAAGGGATTGAGTTCGTTAGCTTACCTGAGGAAATTAGAGTCCAGGGGTAATACATACACAACAAAAAGTCACAAAACATTATTACTGTTGGAGACAGGTACCTAACATATTTAAACTTAACACGTTCGCTACCACAATTATATGGAATTTACGTTCGGATAGACCAGCGACGCAATTGTGCGTCGACTCGTTTCTCACAATAGACCACCGACGCATATTTGCGTCAGCTGGTCACATTGAAATAGACTAACGACGCACAGTTGCGTCGGTGTTCAATGTTAATAATCAGCGTATTTCTTAGCAACGGTCTATTTGAAAGCCCTGATTTTATCGTATCAGTCTAGAGGGATATCTGCCGCAAATGTGCGTCGCTTGGTCTGTGGATATGACGATTGGTTACGTCACACAACAGTTGGCAACATTGTTGTTTACATTGTGTATTCCCCGACATCACAGAACAGATGTAAACGTTATAACCTTTGCAGTTTTGGCTAGTGTTTAGTGGAGTTTCTTTATTTGTTTGTGTAAAAGCTTGAAACAACCAAATTTACAACAACACTTACGTGCGTCGCCTGGTCTATTGAAACAAAAATGTAATCTTTTTAACTGGATTTCATTAAATAGACTGACAGACGCATATATGCAGCATTTTAAAATTTGCTCAAAATGATAAATAAAAACAATATTTATTGCTTACTAATTCACTTAAGGTTAATATGAAGTCAATTAGTCCATTTAAACCATATTTCTCTTTTGGTCTGTCGGCAATGTTATTCCTATATCACTTGGTCTGTAAGCAACGTCATGATCATTCCTTTTGGTCTGTAGGAGTGACCGGACCGACGCAAATGTGCGTAGTGATGGGCGATACGGGTCAATGTATCAATACTGCGTATCGATTCGTATCGGAACGTGGTGTATCGATACGTGTATCGTATCGTATCCTCATGTATCGATTTTTATCTGTATCGGATAAAATATCGTATCGTATTGTTTATTTATAATTTTTTAAAAATTTAAATATCTCAAATATTCAAGCTGCATAGACAAATACTATGTTACTTACAAGCTTGAAAAGAGGGTTAACTTAGTGCTTGTAATCTTACCTCAGAAAAGCCGTTTCCTTCCTGTGTCTTTTTATTTGTATCAAACATGCATACATAACCTCCAAATTCCGGTAGCCTACACCCTCAAAATTGGAAAACATTTTGTTATTGTTTTCGTAGTTTTTACACAGGGATAATTAATTGAGCCAAAAAGTACTAATAATGATGGTGGGTATGCCACTTACACATAGTATAATATGGATAATGAGGGTCCTCACTTCCATTAATGGTGGCCCTAGGCACGGCCGCCTTTAACTACAGGCCGCGGCCTGGTAGAATTGGCAACATCGCAAGTGGTATGTTGTTCAGTGACTGACAGACATCCCATAAGATAACATGACAGACAGGTGACATCAGCTCATTAATTCGCACTTTAATGATTTAAATTTAAATTTATGAACATAAATTTATTAAAATATTGAAAATAAAACATACAGAATTGAAACCCAAAACAATATGAATTAAAATCTATAACTGTACATTTTTAAGCGGAGTCAATATTGTCATAGTCCAGTAACCAATCTTTCGTAAATACACAAATACCATTAGCTACTTCCAAACAAAAACAGCTGTTACAACACCACTTGCGACGTTGCCAGTTCGAAGGCTGCGGCCTGGAGTTAAAGGCAGCCGTGCCCTAGTTTTGAGGTTTTTTGCAAAACATAGCTGAAAATACATGTTTTATCAGTGTTTTTGAAGATGCTAGGGTAAAATATCAAATTTCCACTACTACCTTTGAGGGGAGGAAGATGGGAAGACAAATTTCTTACCATAAAAATAAGATTTATATTCATAAATAAACAATACGATATTCGATACGATATTGGCTATAGGTGTATCGATACAGGCATATCAATACACTCCCACGTATCGATACAAAATATAGATATTTTGAGGTCCTTGTATCGATATCTGTATCGATACGCACGTCACTAAATGTGCGTCGCTCGGTAGCGAACGTGTTAAATAAGCTACTAAAATGTTAAATCTTAATCAGAGTGGATTGAAAAATAACTATGGGTGGTCAAAAGATATATAAATTGGTTGGTTGGTGAATGAAGGATTAGAAACTCAACAATATGATATATTTTTCCTCTCTAAGCTAAATTTGTGTATTACTGGACACATTGTTTAATAACAACCTCTTTTGGTTACTAATTTAAGCACACTTCTGAGCCTACTATTTATTTCCAGAACAATTCTAGGCAATACATTTCAGTAATCTCAATTGCAAACTCAAATACAATAATATTTTCTGCTATCCTCCCACCAATACGACATGCAAAAATATGTCACCATCGATCTCCAATCACTTTTAAGTGAAAAGGTGAATCAAGTGCTTTCACAGAGAGGTAAGGTACGGAGGAAACATGCTTATGGAACGACCACACGCTCTTAGCTCTAGTATGTTGTGCCAGAAATATAGTTGTGACGAGCAAGGAAGAGCCTGAATGGCGAGCACTGTGAGAAACCCTCACAGTGTAGAGGGGTTCTCTACCGTAGAGTTGTAGTACATAAGAGCTAGGGGGGGGGGGGCAATATTGGACTTTGCATTAGACACTAACACTAGTGCTACGCACCATTTAAGTGTACCATTGGATATTTCCTCTGCACCTTTTCTGTGGTGCTTTTGTTTTAACAGTCTTACGCATTACATTTAATTGTTTGTCCAAAAACATTTATACACAACTCTCCTAAAAGGACAATCTATTTGTATTTTAAATAAGTTTTAACTTCCTACTATACATACTCGGCTGGCCACATGTCAGTGGTTTCTCGCAGACCTGTCCGCAGGTCGGGATCTCATCGAGACACGAAGTTCTCTGCTGACCCTCCCCTAGCGGAGTCTTGCCACAGAAGCAGGTGAGCACAAGTGATGGGTCGCGTACACACGTGTCGCATGGCCCCGCGTGACACTTCTGGCTACACGTGTGGTGGCCGCATGACAGCTGCTGGCCGCACAGCGCTTCACACACAAACTGCTCGCCCTCGGCCTGACTGCCATCACACAACACCTCCCTTTGCTCCTTGCCACAATAGCAGACTGGAACAGTGGACATAAACATAATTACTGCACATTCTCAATCATTCAAAACTAAGTGATGGTGTTGGATTAGAGGTAGATAAATAGTGTTGTGATAAATTAATCATATATGTACACATGCCAAGACTTGTCAAATCTCATTTTTCCTAAGTGTTGTCAAAGAAATGTCTACATAAATTCTTTACACATCATAAACTTTGAACAAAGAATAGTCTTAAGAGTCAATACCTTGTTTGATGATGACCTCGCATGGTTCACACTCCCCTACATGGCATTGCTGGGTACAATTGTGTCTGCCACACGACAGTGCCTTGCCACACACAGATCCACACACTAGAGGCTGGGTCTGGCCACACTGTACAGACTGACTGCTGGCTCCACACCCACACTTCCTGTACACAATATGGATAAGATTACAATAAATTATAAAAGGTACATCATACGGTTTTAATTGTGATTGAAATTGAACGCCTTCTAACACAAGACTTGTTAATTTATAGGTGTCTGTCTGTTGATAGACATGGAAACTCCATGTCTATTTGCTTTTTTGAGTAGCAAAATCTGTTAATTTAACGTAACCGGATCACGTTCGCAATTTTGTTGTTACCACGGTTGATGTTCACGATTCCGCCACTATGACTGGGTAAGGAGTTCACAATTTCACCACCATATGGGGAGATAATGCATACTATTGTACAACCAAAATATAGTATTACGATTAAAATTAAAATTCTTTATAAACTCAAGATATTTTTGCAGTAGGCTACACCAATTTACATGGTGAGGAGTTTCATCAATATCTATAACTATGAAACTGATTACAATTGAAGCTCATAGTAACAAGACAGTAAAATTATTTTGTACTGACAATTTGTTAAATTACACAAAGAAATACTAATCTGCTCTGTATCTAATCTGCTACCTAACCTAGAAAAACAACTCAACAGGGCCCAAGTAGTCACCAAGTAGTACACAAAGACAGGTTAACTAGGAGTCCACTGCTCATCCAACCGTCTAGCGTCCCCAGCCTTAGTCGACCCTTTTCCCAACCAACCACGGTGGCCTATATGTATTAACCCAATCAGCTACTGAGTACAAAACACTGTAAGTTCACATAATAGCTTACAAGGTCTTCAACATAGCTCGCCTAGCCTATTATCTGTTACAAGGTTTATTCTGAGGTTATCGTCACTCACCTGGTAACTAAGGCCATGCAAGGAGGACACGGACCCGGATGACACAGCACTGTGCAGCGATGTACACAGCTGTAGAACTGACTGGCTAACACCTTCGGACGGTTGCAAACCTGCGAAGCAATAATATTGTAAACTATAATATAACTCCAACCGCTTTCATATCATGATAAAGATAAAACGTTTTATCAAGCTAATTTCAGAGAGGTTTGGATTTACAAACCAAGGGTTATTTCAGGAAAAATCAAATTTTTTTAATAAACCAACAACAAACAAGATAAGTAAAACCTGGGAAGAGATAAATAGGGAGGCAACCAACAGTCGAGGTGGAGAGGAACAGTCAAAGCCCTATGCTCCAGTTGGGGTCAAAAGGAGTCAAGAGTCTGGGGTAGGCCTACAGAACTTTTTCAGATGGTACAGTATACACATTCTTTTATCTCGGATCTTGGTAGAAAATCAATAAGGTTTAATGTTAATATTTTGTACCGCAATGTGTAAAAACATGGTTAGCAATTCAATTTTACAAACACAATGGTAGAACAGGGTGTTAAACAGTAAATACAACTAGGTGCAGTATAAGCCATTGAAAACATTCATAGGTTTCAGGTACCCACAAGATTAACTTTTGCTACCAGTACCATCATAAAATGTTTAGAAAGAGGACTAGGTTAAGACAAATAATTTTAGTACAATGTATATTCAAACGATGAATTCTAAAAAAAGTTACCCAGATAAGACTAAAGCCTACTTACCTCAAAAAGTCGCTAAGTTAAATCAAAACAGTTATTAATGTTAGGAGTATATTTTCAAAAGATACTATGAAACATAAAGTGAATAATAAGCTAAGTTCAACCACTTACCTCCCCACATGAATGAGCAGTGTCGTTGCGATTCCAGTCAGGGTTGACCAGTTTTCCACAGAAACACAAATATTCTTTAGGCATTGCTACCGTCACGTTCTGACACGCTGGACATCTCCATCCGTTATCTAGTTAAAACAATTTTATCAGTTTTTAGATACGGTAATTATGGAGAAACATTAACCAATGGTAGCGAAAACAACTGAATAAAAAAGGTTATTACCTTAAGTTATTCCAATTTGCTGAAATTAAGCTGCTAAAATCTTCAATTTCGAAGTGTGAGAGTTAAAACAAGCAACACACAATGATTAACAAACAAATAATAGCCAATGATTAACAAACAAATAATAGCCAATGAAATAACAACAAGACTAGACAATTTATTCCAATCCAAAAACAAAAGGAGGTCTCCCTTTTGTCCTATCAAGAAGAAAAATTAGATAATTTTTCTATTAACCCTCCGAGTGTTATGTGTCGTAAAAGCGACTCATAACACATCCGCTGTAGTGTTATGTGTCACTTTTGCGACTCACAAACACTGTTTACGGCGATGGCTCTGGGACTGACTGAATCGGATTGAACTGGATCGAGTTAGGTATAGTTTTTTTCAGCAGATTCAGAGCTTTCTCCTGATGTTTGTTTCTATACGCTTTTCATTTTAGTTCTGAAAATATTGTAGCAGACAGCTGACGTAAGTATTTGTAAACAGCTTGGTTAATCTCGCACCGATGACTGATGTGTTTTATTACGTTTATCATTGTTTTAGTGTTAAAAATCAAAAGTAGTGATATACATGGTGCATTATAAGAAGATTTAAGTGATTTTGAAGGGCTGGTTGTTGATCCTGAAGAAGTAGGTAGTGATATTGATGTAAATTATCAGCCAGATTCCTAGCTATGGTTAGGCTATGCATTCTTAGCTAAAAGCTATGTACCAAAATCCGTTTTTTGTCCATAACTTATTTATTTGCAAACCTACTTCCTTATATTATTATATTTTTGGAATCCTCATAACATTCTGAACAAAGTGGCTATTATTAAATATTTGTAGACCCATAAATTATAACAATTTATTGAGCGCAAACATAAATTTTTTTCATTTATTTTATAATTTTTAAGAAATGTTAACCCCACAAAAATTGTTGAAAATTTTTTTTGTAATGTTTTATATGTTACATTGAAGCCCATAATTTTCCAAACAAAATTATATATAAAACAGTATACTTTACATTGTTTTTAAGTTTCTAAGATACATTTTAATAAAACCCTGCGATTGCGCAATAAATGGGCGAACATTAAGACCAAAACTAGAGACACTTGGAGGGTTAAGATATACAGTTTCATAGAGTTGATTTAAGAAAGGATTACTCTAAAAAATGCAAATATGACTCCAAAACTCACATTTAATCTTAAAGCTCTTAACTATAAGAAAGCAACATTCATTCTTAATAATCAAAATCCGGAATATTAAAAAAAAAAAATGAACAAGCATATCAAGATGCTATCAGCCTACCTATTAAAAATATTCTGTGTTAATTCTGGTACAACAAGGTACTTTGGCAATCACAAACAGTAACCATTAGGGTCCCTAGTATTTTCAGGTCAGGTTGACCAACCAAAGATGACTGTGATACTTTTTGCATGTACACTGCACTTGTTTATATTTTATTGTTTATATTTATTTAGCCTTATTGCCCGTAAGCTTTAGGCTACTATTATGACGTTCATCCATTGCATGTGTTGTACATAGCGTTAACGATGAATAAAAATTCTTGATTCTTGATTCAAATGGATCAGTTCGGGTCAAGCTTTGGTTTAAGAGATCGCAGAAAACTTCTGCAATGATAAGCGATCCAAAATTGATAGTGATCGCAGTTGATATTCATAGCTTTACTGCAATATTGGTGAGAGAAAATAATGAAAACACCATAGCTGGGAAAAGATGTCTTGCAAAGACATTCACGATTTTGCCGTGACTACAAAAGATTATCAAGATTTTGCCGTGACAAAAAAAATTATCTAGATTTTGCAATGACTGCAGATATTCTCGATTTTGCTGTGTTGAGGAAATATGTTGCTGTTACCGCAGCACACATTCACTATAATTTCACTGTGACCACAGATGATGTTCTTGATTTTGTCGTGACCGCAGAAGACGTTAACAATATTGCCAAGACTGCAGAAGATCTTCAAGATTCCACCCTACAGATGTTCTTAATTCCTCAATGAGCTGACTAAATGATTTCACTGTAACTTTGGGGACATTTTAAGTTTCACCTTGAAAGCAAAAGATATTCTCACAATTTTCCAAGGACTGTTGTAGATGTTCTCAAATTTGTTAAGATTGCAGAGGACTTTCACGATTTTGCTGTGACCGCAGATAATGTTTGATTTTGCTGTGGCCAAAATGGTTGACTCGACTCAACCCAAAGTAAAAAACTCTGGCCCACGGACCCCTAGTATTCATACAGACTCGTGTATTACCTGCTTTGGAAGTGTTGGCCCATTTGATGATGCAACGCAGATGCAGGACATGATAGCAGTTGTTGCAGGACCAGGTGTGATCTTGTTGTCTCACCATCTCACAACACACCAGACACTCCAGCACTCCACGGTTCAGCTGCTCAGTCAACCTCTCTCTCTGAGATACGGCTTCGTCCACTATAACATGTTCAGTGTCAATAGTACAAGGAAATATATTTTATCAATTATGAATCATTGAGATGGGGACGCCACCTAGGTGCGTATTTTGACCCAAATATGAGTGAAGGATGAGTGTAGAATGGTGTGTGATGACTTGTGTAGCTTTGTTACCGACTAAGATCAGCGGTTTCATTAATCAGGATCATTTATTTAAAGCCCAATGATCAGGAATAGCTGGGTCCAGTTTCGAACTATCAAAAAGCTGATGACTTTTCTAAGGATCGAACCGGCAACCTTTTGATTACTAGGCGAGCACTATAACCACTCAGCTACCCAGCCAGTCTATACATCCCGAGAGCAAACTGGATTAGTTCATTAACACAAAATAAAATATACATGAATTATCCGTAAATTATGGTCCCCATTTAGTCACAGCTGAGCAAGCTCAAATCTGGACCCAGCACAGTGTACATTTGCATCCTCCACCAATATTCCAGACAGTTTCTACTCCAGTGGAACAATTACCCATTTCATAGCAGAAAGTTACATGAATTAAAATTGATACTCCTGCCAAGTGTGAATTGCGATTAGATTTCTTGGCTTAAGTCATCAAATGCGGAAGTCCGATAGATGTTAATGAAAGTAAAATAATAGAACAGAAAATATGTATAAGTGTGGAGGGAGTTCGGTGGAGTTCTTAAACTTAAACACGATGTGACATTGTTTTTTTTTTCTTTCAACGCCAGTGGCATTTCACAAGAGAGTCACAAGAGAATAAATGTTTTGTGGATGTGCCGGAGATTGAACCCGTCCCTCCCGCACCGAAGTCCGAGACGCTAACCACTAGACTAGCAACACAACCAAACCATGACCGAATTTTACAGTTCATATGTGATAATAGTACAGATTTAAACTTTATCGTATGGTGGGATTAGATAACAACAAAAATTACTTTACCTCCTTTTGTGCCTGAAGAGTTCCGTTCTCTTCGAGGAGATGGCCCTACACGGCCCGATGGAGAAGACCGAGGCTGGTGACGATCTTGCCTACAAACAAAACAGGTTTAGGCTATCCCTTAAATGCTACTGGATTTATCCTTTATAGAACCCTAATTTTTTAAATTTATTCCAATTAAGGTACAGTAGAACTGAAAACGGTGAGCTAATTTGGGAGTGAAACACAAGTAGTGGTTCAAACACCAATTGAATCGTTGAACCAAACTGACTATACTCTTATTTGTAATAAAGCAGTCACAAGTCGCAAAGTAAGTTATGTAGCTTAATGACTGGCTACAATATGGTTACTATATTGTAGCCAGTTGGGTATTAGAATAGCTTCATTTACATACCCAATTTTAGTTCTGCTTTAAAAAGTCAAATCTATTTGTTTTACAAGATGTAATTTTTCTAAGAGATAGTCCATCTAGTTTCTAATCTAGTAATTAAGTAAATCCTAGTGAAAACGGCAGGTAAATAAGTACATTAGGTTAAAATTAAATTTTAGATATGTAAAATAAAGACTAAATTAATTAAAAAGAAATCTTTCAATAAATGAGTTAACTTATTAGTATTGAATGATTACTGTACGAACAGTAAGATTTATTTTGAAAATATAACTGAGTTCTGGTATCCAATGCTTAAAAAACGTTTATTCCCAATATGGAAAATGTTCTAAAAACCTTGCGACGAATCTCTGAAGAATCATATACTTTCTTTAATCCTTAAAATGCAATAGAGCTCCAACCATATAAATCTAAAATGCTTTCTAATAGGTCTTACACGTAGATTATTTTTAACACTAAATAGTTCAGAAAAGAACTTACACTTTACTAGATCGTGAGAAAACCTTGGAGTCCCCGTTGTAATACGTCTTGTTATCTCCAGAACCTCGAGGACGCCATTTTGAAGGTTCATTTGAGTTACTTGTGGTTGCTGAAATGTTCGTCACATTGTACATGGTGATTTTTGTACAAGTTAAAAGGAGTAACAGAAAACAGAAAATAAGTATTTCAGTTGGACCCAACTTATATCAAGAGGAAAAAGTATATAAGCCTAATACAAAATCAATAGGTATTAAAATAAATTCAAATACATACGGTAATATACAGGGTGTCCCGGAACTCTCTACCAATATTTTAGGGCATTGCTCCTGGGTAAGAAACATACCTAATATAATATTTAAATTGTCCGGAAGTCCTTAGTTACTCACACAGCCGCCATTTTGTTTTTTTCAGTTATTATTTTTTTCTAAAGAATGGTTGAACATACGAAATAGAAACTTTGCAAAAACATTTATGAACACTAGACGAAGCCACAAAAAAATTATGACGATTTTTCAAATTCATAAAAGAAAATGGCGGCCGTTTAGAATTTTGTAAAATCAACGGTTTTTGAGTTATTTAAGAAACAAAATTTTAAACAGCCGCCATTCTGTTTTATGAATTTGAAAAATCGTCATAATTTTTTTGTAGCTTTGTATAGTTGTCATATTTGTTTGTGCAAAGTTTCCTTTTCGTATGTTTAACCATTCTTTAGAAAAAAAATAATAGGCCTAACTGAAAAAAAAAAACAAAATGGCGGCTGTGTGAGTAACTAAGGACTTTCGGACAATTTAAATATGATATTTAGGTATGTTTCTTACCCAGGAGTAATGCCCTAAAATATTGGTAGAGAGTTCCGGGACACCCTGTATAACAACTAGTGGCTTGTAGAGGCAATAACCCCTATATTCTAGTAATTATTTTGTACAAATTTTTAGTCTAATGGGTTACCCTACCTTGAATTATCATTCAACATTTTCGTATATTATACTATGTATAATAGTTATTAGGTCTGCATAATGCATTTTGATGTCTGCTCTGTTTAAAATAAAAAATGGACATGCTGTGTGTCATAATACAGCTAAGGAACATTTTCCAATATCAATTTTCATGACTATTAATTAGATCTATATCTAGATTTCTTTAAATATAGACAAATACACTTAGAAAAACACATACTTAGAAATAATGCCATCATCCAAATTGTAAAATACTAATTCTATAAAAAAAATCTCTCTGAAAACAACATTTGTTGTATAGTATCCATTTTGATCGATTCCTTGGTCTTTATTGGTTCATGTACTATTTTAACATTATCTGGCTGCTTTACCCGGCTAAAAGCAACTTAAAGTCGACCATGGGTAGACACTGGGTTTTTCAAATAAATTCCAACTTTTGTGAAGGTTCAGCCTTGCGCCACAATTTCAGCAAATCAAATTGCACAATGCACCACAACGAATGCAACCATCGTTCATTGGTCCTACGCTGTGTAATAATTCAATCTAATTTAAAAGTGGTAATCTATACACAGGAATAAATTCATGTTCATCCGATGCTCATTTATTCTTCTTTCATTAATATCGGGCCAAATCTCATTGTTCAGCAGTTCCTCAACAGTTCCTGTTGTTCTCATTTCGAGGAACAAAACCTATGCGTGGTGGCCTACCTCTGCATGGTGGTCTTCCGGCATTATACATTATTACTGTGCAAAAGAACAATCCATTGTAATGTATTAAGTTTAAAAGTATAAAATTGTATGTTCAAAATATTTTATACTTTTAATCTAACTAGTTAACCGCCCGTGCTCCGCCACGGGAATATTGTCAGCAATAAATGAAATAATAATTAACAAATACTGTTTATCTTTGTATTTTATTTAGGGGTTGTTTAATTTTTTACATGAAATAGAACTGATAGTTTGCCTGTATAAACTATTTTATGTTAATCAAATAACCGATATATTATTTTAACCAAATGAATGTTTTATAATTCGAGAATCAGTTGAAAAATAAATAGTATACCGGTACGAACTGGACACTGATGATAACCTAATAAGCAGATATTTTGGATATTTAGATAATTTGTTCAAGTATAGTCCTATATTCGTCGTTTTTTTCATTACATTTGTTGTATGGAATAAAGATAGTCACTTAGCCTACATGTAAATCACGCATCAACAGTTGGTCGCATTACACGAATCTTTGACCCATACTGTGAGTAAATGCCGTGTTTACGTCGTATATATAAATTTGGTCATACTTTGTTCAATGTTAGAGGGTATTAACGGTTCAATTTGATGGAAAAGGAGTTGTGGATTTTAAAACTATTTAAACTACCACTACCAGAAAGATGTTGATTCAAGTGAGACTTAGAACTCATGGAATCTATTGTTCATGGAACAAATCTGCCATTTCAAATGCAGATTTGTATTATATTTTACTCAAATAGTTTTTTTGTCTCTTTTGACCCTTAATACTTTTTTTATAGTCCCTGTTGATAAGATCTTCCATAAACTCAAAATGTTGATAAGGAGTTCATTTTACCTTCCCCTTGTGACAACATAAGGAAAAAATATTTGTGTCCCAGTTAGTCTGTTCTGACTCAAAATTCATAGATTTGCAGTACTGACAAATCCAATCTAACGACCCCAATTAAAACAAATTGGTATTTTTTAGAAGGGACTTCCAGAGCACATTTAACACCATCACTGCTCTTTACCTTTTTAGTTCGATGGTTCTCCACATGTATTTTTTCGTTCTGTATGTCTCTTTCTTTACGCCCGGTTAATGATTACCTTTTCTTTTTTTTTTGTACTTTTCACATCCTGGGGTTAATGATAAAGTTTTATAACGCTATAATGACCCGAGACAACTTTGCCATTAAACATCAAGTCAGATACTTATTCGCCAGAACCGAAATCGTAAGCCACAGTTTCTCAAGCAACTTCCCTGTGTAGGCATACTCGAAAAAATATAGTTAGGGTATAGTTCACTGATAAATTGTAGTTCCAAATATCCCAGCGTACTCGCCATCTTGAGAAGGTAAAATTTGGACGTCGAACACTGATCTTGAGTAAGATTAATCACTTACGATAAAATGTTTGTATGTTTACCAATCATTAGCAATAATCTGTACAACTTGCAAGCGGATTGTTCTAATGGCTATAGAGAATAAATTATAATGATCAAAACAATAAGTTTCCGTCCCCTACTATGGGTAATATTTCACATTCCATACTCAAACTTAAACTCAATTACCGGTTTCCTTCGGATCACTTTGCAGGAAAACTAAAACATTTTTGTGTCCCAGTTAGTCTGTTCTGACTCGAAATTCATAGATTTAAAGTAGTGACAAATCCAATCTAACGACCTCAATTCAAAAGAGTTGGTATTTTTTTGTAGGGACTTCCAGAGAACATTTAACACCAACACTGCTCTTTACCTTTTTAGTTCGATGGTTCTATATATTTTGTTTCGTTCGGTATGTCTCTTAACGCCCGGTTAATGATTACCTTTTTTTTCTTTTTGTACTTTTCACACCCTGGGGATAATGATAAAGTTTTATAACGCTATAATGACCCGAGTCAACATTGCCATTAAACATCAAGTCACATACTTCTTCGCCAGAACCGAATGGTAAGTCACAGTTTCTCAAGGAACTTCCCTGTGTACTTGAAAAAAATTCACTGATATATTGTAGTTCCACGTATCCCAGCGTACTCGCCATCTCGAGAAGGTAAAGTTTGGTACCACTGAACGTACTGATCTTGACTTGAGTAAGATTCGTCACCTACTATAAAATGTTTGTATGTTTCCCACTCATTAGCAATTACATGTACAACTTGCAAGCGGATTTCCCCATGATTATTCTGGTGGCCGTAGAGAATAAATTATATTGATCAAAACAATAAGTTTCCGTTCCCTACTATGCGTATCATTTCACATTTCATACTCAAACTTAAACTCAATCACCACTTTCCTTCAGATCACTTTACAGGAAAACTAACACATTTCAAAAATAAGTTAACAAATACACTTTCCTTGATCAAAATCGTGTGTTTATAAACAGAAACTCCAAGTTTAATAATTGCACACTGAAAGTGAGGTTATAAAAATAATAACAAATGTCTGACAAACATTAAACAGCTGACGAATAATTTATAAACTGTGTATTATATTCTTCAATAAGAATTGTATTGACTCGACCTTAAAAGGGCTGTAGGTCGTAGCCCTTAGAAAAAACGTAAATTCCAAGGAAGTTCGGCAAATCTACACACTATCCCCTTTAATTTGAGACATAAATCTTGTAAATCGGTCCAGTAATTACTGAGAAAACAGTGTTACAACTGTGTATTAAATATATAGATTTTCACTTTGTGCTGTTTACTACTTCACTAACAATTTTACAATACCTACACAATAATGCACAGGTGTGGTTAGCCTATAATTTTTTCAATTTATATAATCACAGCTGTGTTTACACTATCTATATAATTAATACGCTACATGAAACTTTGTCGGTTGAACTCCTTCGCCATTTCTTAACCGATTTTATCCATTGACGTCTCATTGGAAAGAGCGTGTCGCGTAGATTTGCAAACTGGCCTTACATTTCCGAAAAAGCCCCTTGGGCTCTGCCCCAGTGGCTTTGAAAGTTCCCATGTTATCCTTATGAAGAACATAATTGTTTACATTTTGATCAGCTGTATAATTTAATTGCTGTTATTTATTTTCCAATTCAACGAAACGCATAGGTTACATTTACTGATTTGGTTGAAATTAAATATTTGCTACTTTAATTTACATTCGTACTTTATTCCAATGTAAAAAATCGAGAAAGCCTGGGCAATTTGATATATTTTACCAAAAAAGAAAAATTAATTGACAGGGCACTGAATTTTTGAGCAATAATTGAAAGAACCGATTATTTACCATGGAAACATAGGAGTCATAGAACACCACCAAGTAGAAAAAATAGAGATTAAAAAAAAACATTTACTATCGTTATCATCCTAAATAATGAAGAGCACTTACAAGATGAAGATTCCCACAAACAATGAACAGGGATGTTAGCCAAAGTGTTACTATTTTGTAGTAAACACTGACTTAACTT